CACACACACACACACACACACACACACACACACACACACACACACACTTACCAGATACATGTGGATGGTATGTGCTGCCACAAATTTGGCCCCATACACCAGGCCGTCTGTCCATCGCACCTGAACCACGTCACCCTGAGGTGGCGGTCCGAGCTGAGCACAGTCACGGCTCTAAAGGACAAAACACACACATTGCAGAGTTCTGACTGAACAAAGGGACAGTTGTATGCATCTTGACACGAGTAGATCATCATAATAGATTGAAATAATCACGAGGACACAAATCATTTCACTTAAATGACGATCTAGGGGCCGCAGACAGTTTGTCAGAAGACCCCCAAACACTGAATTCAAGCCACAGTACACTGTGAAGACAGTGAAGCATGGTGGCGCAAGCATCATGACATGGGGATGTTTCTCATACTATGGTGTCGGGCCTATTTATCTCATACCAGGGATCATGGGTTAGTTTGAATACATCAAAATACTTGAAGAGGTCATGTTGCCTCATGCCGAAGAGGCAATGCCATTGAAATGGGTGTTTCAACAAGACAACGACTCCAAACACACCAGTAAGCCAGCAGCATCTTGGTTCCAGACCAACAAGATTAACGTTATGGAGTGGCCAGCCCAATCCCCGAACCTCAATCCAATAGAAAACTTGTGGGCCGACATCAAAAATGCTGTTTCTGAGGGAAAAACCAAGAAATGCAGAGGAATTGTGGATTGTAGTCCAATCGTCCTGGGCTGGAATACCTGTCCACAGGTGCCAGAAGTTGGTCGACTCCATGCAACACAGATGTGAAGCAGTTCTCAGAAAGTGGTTATACAACTAAATATTAGTTCAGTGATTCACAGGAAAGATAAATCTTCAAGCATTTTTCAGTTTATACAGTAAATGTTTGAGTTTGTAAAGATTTATTTGAACAGCCGAATATTAATTTTTCTTCACTTTCTGTAAAGTAATAACAAATTTGACACATTTTTCTTCATGTTTTGATTTGGAATAGAATGTGCAGTGTTCCCAATACATTGGCGTGTATGGGAATAAACGCTATTATAAGGATTTTTTTAAACACTGCTATTATTTTGAACACAACTGTATATCATAAGCCGTGTTTTCATTCAATTAATCAATTTGAAGCGAACTTTTGAAATGAAAAAAAAAAACCTACGCGTTTCCATCGACTGTTTTGGACGGATGTCTTGGCTACAGCACAGCTTAGCAAGTTGACGCTACAGGCTACGTGTGGCTGAATCCGCCAGTAAACAGCAATATTCAGCAATTATTCTTTTATTTAATATGTCCTACTCTATAAATAAACTATAAATAACAGTGTATATATTGTGCATTTTCTAATACTTAATATTTTTATTTACTCTGTTACTTTGTTTGCAGAAGTATATCCTTGCTGCTGTAACATACTAATTTCCCCCTGGGGATGAATAAAGTATATATCTATGTATCTATCTGTCAATAGATGTAGGGAACTAGAAAAACAAAACAAGTCGTCTTGCCCATCTAACCGTCTATAAGGGAAAAATGGAGAGAGGTCTTCGGGAATTTGTCTCAATTGGGCAAGTTTGAATTGTTCTGTCATATCAGCTAGTATTGGCCATGTTGTCCAGAGACATTATTATGTTACGTTCTGGAAATATTGAGGAAGACGCCGACAGCAGAAACAGCTGATAGGTCGTGTGAGTGAAATGCTTGCTGTGTCAGAACTTAAAATGAGTTTCGATAATCCAAACCTTTTTTCAACAACAGAAGGAGGAGCTACTGGCAGCTATGGGCGTGGCTTATGTGTGTGTGTTTGTTGAAAACGACAGTGCCTCCAATGGAGGTTAGTGTAGCTGCTGCAATAGCATCAGTTCTATCAGAACTAGAGAGTATTTCTTCATTGAAAGAAGAGCAAAGAACGACACCGAAGGATTTCCTCCACAGAGAAGGTGTTTGACAGATGATTCATCAAATTTCAAAAGGTTTTTTTCAAAGTGTCTGCCCTTTTCTAACAGATTTCAATGATGGCTTCTTAGATGGTTCTGTGTAACAAACTGTGGCGGGTCAAGTTGAAAAAAAACACCTCAAAAGGAGTGAAAACCTTTATTGCTTAACTGAGGGAGTTTATTGAATTTTGGCATATCCATACAGCTTCTAATGCGATACTTCAAAATGATGTAAAAATAAATGGATGGAAACACGGCTAAAGTAGGTCCACATTTACCAAAAGACACAATATGAGGTACTTTAAAGGAAAATTACACATTTTTACTAGCTGTGTGTTTTTAACGTTTTTGGGAGTTTTCTTTTAAATGACCAGATGAAGATAAACTAGCGAAACCTACCACGATGTCTTCAGGGAAGAGATTGTCGCTGAAGGAACCGTCATCAAAGTTGACCTCGTAGAACGTCTCTTTAGACAGCTGCACCACGTCACACTGGTAGTAGCGGCCGTTCTTGTGCTTGCATATCACCTTCTGTCCCACAGTCAGCTCGTGCATGGCTGCTTTATTGCGCTGTCAGAGGAGAGTCAGGAAATCACGTCTTTATGACTTACTAACTGCAGTAGTTCCTCGCATTTGGTGCGCTTTAATGTAACAGCACTGCAGTACTGACAGTGAAAAAAGTGCATCTCTAGTTCACAGTACGTCAGAGCCCCAGAAGCTCCTTACCTCAATCTGAGTGGGGCCTTTGTGTCGACAGCAGGTGACATGCACCACAAAGGGCCATTCATCAGGCTGCATGAGTACACCGGCAGCCTGGGCACAGGTGGGGTGGTAGGCGGTGGGACAGCGGCCGTGGGAGCACTGCACGCAGCAGCCGGACACCTTCTTCATCCTTTTCTTACAGTAGTAACATTTCTGTCACGGATTCAAACACAGGACCCAAGGCTCAGGAAAGTGCAGCGGATGGGAAATGACTCAAGAGTGAGTGGAGTGAACACACACAAGGACCGGTAATAGTTTGAGCACAGCTGAAGCCTTTACACGTCATGGCTTCACATCCTGTTAGATCAAATGCCCTTCAGGATTTCCCTTGTTTCCAGTCTGTCCTCATTGTAGTTCTGTGGGCTAAAGCACTACAAGGAGGACCACAGTTTGGGGAACAGATATAATGTAAATGAGGCCTTTATTTACCTCACCTGCAGAAGGAACCAGAAACAAGCTTATATTAGAGGGTTTCTATGGAAGTAGCCTGCTACGCTCTTTGCCAGGCAACGGTACACTTAAAATTGCCCTCCACTCCTGCTACGTAGATTTGAATGGGAATGTCCATTCTACTCCTATTCTGATTCTACGGACTGTACTGTACTTTGTTCACCTCGGCATGCTGCTCTCTTTTAACAAAAGCCTACAGTGTTTTGCTCCAATATGCGTGAAAATGAAGTGTGGGGGAATGTGGACACCAGTGCTTGTCCTGAATTGGCAACATATTGTGAAAATCCCTGACTTTAAGGAATCTCTCACCTCTTTACTGTCTCTTTCTTATTAGCAAATGTGTACGAAACATTCAGGTAGCAGCTTCTTTTTTCTCCAGATAAAACACCAACACCATGCCATGTTGATGAAAAACAATATAAACTGTATGTAGTACTCACGTCCCTAACCTCTCTATGCTTCCAGAAATAGGGGGGGGGGGGGGGGGGGGGGGGGG